GGGAATTGTGGGATCAGGTTTGCACTTACAGTTTTAAAACTCTGTCCTTCGGACGTCTGGGTCGCTCAGTGGTTGAGAGCCTTTGGCCCAGGGCGTGATCCCGGAGTCCTGGGATTGAGTCCCACATCGGACTTCCTGCAGGGAACTTGCTTCTCCCTCTGTTTCTGTCTCTCTCTGTGGTCTCTCATGAATAAATAAATAAAACCTTTTAAAAAAAAACAACACGACTCTGTCCTTTGAAGAGGGGATTGTGATAGAGCCAGAGTAAAAGCAGAGACCGATTAAGAAGTTGTTATTAGTAGTCTGGGAAGAGATAAAAGTCGTGGAGATAAATATGAACAGATGGAATATAGAGTTTATAGGGATAAGTGACTACTAGTACTTACTAAGAACTTTGAGGAACTAGAGATATGAAAAAATGAGAAAAATCAGTTTTATTTTTATTTATTTTTTTAAAAAGATTTTATTTATTTATTTGAGATAAAATACCTGTGTGAGAATGAGCACAAGTTGGGGAGGCGTGTCTAGAGGCAGAAGGAGAGGCAGGCTCCCAGCTGAGTAGGGACCCCGAAGCAGGGTTCTATCCCAGGACCCTGGGATCATGACCTGAGTGGAAGGCAGACACTTAACTGACTGAGCCACCCAGGAGACCCAAGAAGAATCAGCTTTTATTCTCAAGGATGGCCAGTGAAAGATAAATACATCTAAGAATTTGCTATGTATCTCTTTTCTTTTCTTTTTTTTTAAAGATTTTATTTATTCATGAGACACACACACACACACACACAGAGAGAGAGAGAGAGAGAGAGAGAGAGAGAGGCAGAGACATGGGCAGAGGGAGAAGCAGGTTCCATACAGGGAGCCCAATGTGGGACTCAATCCGGGGAGTTCGGGACCACACCCTGAGCGAAAGGCGGACGCTTGACAACTGAGCCACCCAGGTGTCCCACTAATGGATCTCTCTAAATCTTGCTCTTGCCTTTTTCTAGGTGCTTATTGAACATATACAAAACTGGGCTTACATATCAGTGTGGCTGTTTTTAATATAAATGGTATTATACTATACAAGGTTCATTCAACAGTACTTCTTGGAGATCTATCTATGCTATTACATCCGTATAAAGATCATTCTTTGTAACAGCAACATAATACTCTATAATATTAATATGCCAGAAGTAAACTCCAGTGGTCAAACTGCCCCCTACAATTCCCACTCTCCAAGCCCTTCATTTTCTAATTGTGGCTTCCTTACTTAAGTAAATTGTGTTAACCTCAATAAAGAGGTAAAGTGAGGCAAGATCAAATTACCAGAAATTGAATTTATTTGGGAATAGCAGAGGAATTGCCATTCAGGAAACACACACTGTAGCAAGCTACAGGTGAATCCATTGAATGCTTGGGGTGGGCTATATTTACTGGCAAGGTGGAAGTCTGGCCAGAGTCCAGGCAGCTAAGTTGATTGGCTTGAGGGTAGGAAGAGATTCTTAGTGCATGTTCACAGGTCTTCTATAAATCATGCACTTACAGAAAGCATCCTCAGTTCTTAAGTTCTGTTCTTTTGAGGATGCATGCGATTCTCCATTTCATATCCTCCAATTCCATTTTTATTTTATTTCTTTATTTAATGAAGTAAATAAACTCTGTGCCTAACCTGGGCCCCAAACTCACAACCTAGAGATCAAGAGTCACACGCTCTACCAACTGAGCCAGCTAGGCGCCCCCGTCTGGTTCCATTTTAGATTGAAAGCCTTTCACAGTTGTAAATACTTCATAAACCCAAACACTGCCTTTTATTTTCTTGGTACTCACTTCGTAAAAGGGCTCTGCACACAGGAACTTACTGAATGCTCACAACAGTCTGATTGTGAAGAGGCAAGCCTCCTGAATCCTTTGCCCTTGAAATGTCCCTGCCTGGTGTTCATAACACAATTTGAATAGGCCTTGAAATTGTGGGCCTGAAGCCTAAGGCAGGATGTCATCTGGGTGCTCTGAGCAGGGAAATAATGAAAAATAATGTTCAGTTGATGTCACAAGCCATTCACCATTCAGACAGTGATGTTTTTCAGGGTGGACTGAAATGAGTTTGCTTTCTTCTGCTTCAAAACATCCTGGAAATAGCCTGCCTCCTGAATTCTGAGGCTGACCGTGGAGGGTGAAGGTGATGGGTGAGTTAATATTAAAGCTGGCTTTTTCCCTCAACATTTTATTATGGAAAATTTCAAACATACAGAAAAGTTGAAAGAATTGCAGAGTGACCACTCCTATACCCACTACCTAGATTCAATTATTAACATTTTGCTGATTGCTTTATCACCTAATTTGTTCATCTGCCCGTTTGCCCATTCACAGATGCATCAGTTCATCTTTTTTTTTTTTTAATTTTTAGAAAAATTTTTAGAGAGGGAAGAAGGGGCAGAGATAGAATTTTTTTTTTTTTACTTAAAAAAAGTAAAATTTATTTTAGAGAGAGAGGGCATGCAGGGGAAGGGGTAGGGGCAGAGGGAAAGAATCTTCAAGCTGACTCCCAGCTGAGTGCACAGCAGGTCATAGGCCTGGATCCCAGCACCCCAAGATCATGACCTGAGCCCAAATCAAGTGTCAGCCATTTAACCTATGAGCCACCCAGGTGCCCCAATTCATTTTATATTTTGACACTGCCCCCTAAATTTTCAGCATGAGCACCATTAACTGGAGTTTAATATTTATAACTTTAAAAAAATACTTGACGGAAATTTATGACCAGTGCACAAATCTCAAGTGGACCATCCCATCAATCTGACAAGCACCTACGGGTGGAACCCAAGCCCCTATCAATATCTGCTACCACGATGATGTTAGACTGATCAGTGGATCACAGCCTTTAAGATTCCCATTTGGTGTTGGGAGAATGGCAAAGAGTCTGCAAAACCTCAGCAGAAGTAGGAGAGAGGAATAATGGGAAAGAGAAGCCACACGAGTGACTGTCCTGATGGAACCTGACCAGAGTCTGCCATTTCCCCTCATCAGGCTGGACTCAAGTTGGGAGATGCTGTTTCCCTTTGTGCTATCTCACATCATTGTTTAAATATACAAACTTTTTATTGTTTTCACTTTATTACTCTGCATTAAAAGTCACAAGCACTTCCAGAGAATCTGGAAAAAAAAAAAAAGAAAGAAAGAAAGAAAGAAAGAAAGAAAGAAAGAAAGAAAATTAACTGGAAAAACGGGATGGCTGGGGAGGTTTCCAGGCAAAAGCACATTCCTTAAGGCATCTCTGGCTGAGAGCTAGAAGGCATGTGAAGAATTTGATAATACGCACATTATGACCCATATTACACAAAAATTATGACTCATATTACGAAAGCACAGCACTTGGGAAGGGTCCCGAGAAACAGCGCTGGGTTTTCAAACACCGTTTCAGAAAGGCCGACCAAGGGTGCACAACTTTCAAATGAAAAACTGGGACGTGCCCTCCACCTTCCTAAACGCCACCCTCCTCGTTGTCATCAACAATGAAAACGACAGTTTTCGACAACAGTTGAAAACGCTGAGTGGAGGTTTTTAAAATCTTAAAAAAAAAAAAAAATTTTTTTTTTTTTTAAGTGTGAGGCCAAAAATCAACACTCTTTCTTTTGGAGGCTGCTTACATTTTCTTCCCGGTTAACGTGAATGCTAGCGATACCAACTTTGAAAACTTTGTAACATCATAGAAACGAAAATAGCAGGGTTACGATCCCAGCGCGGAGCGGAGCCCCGTGAACAAACTTTCGGTATTCAGACTTTCCTCACTGCGAACGGTTTTCATTTTGAGAGCGCTTTTTTGTTTTGTTTTTTTTAAACAACCAGGGCTTTTAAACAAAAATCACAGAAAATATTGTCTTTTTTTTTTTTTTTTTTGGTCGTCATCTAGCAGATGGGATCCAAAAATTGCGGTAGGAAGAAACCGTTAATTAAGAAAAAAAAAAAACAAAAACAAAAACAGAAGCACAGAAAAGTACTTAAAAAGAGAAATAGAAAACATTACGCCTTCATTTTGGTGAATTAGCAACAAAGAAAAGGACTAGCTTGGACGGGTCCTTTTCAAAAAAATATTTATTTTTTTCCTCCGGCTCCCGCCAGGGTGGAGGAAGTTGTGTCTCGGCTCGGAGAGGGTGGAATAGAGGGAAGGACGAATAGCGGGGAGGCTCGGCCGGGCGGGAGGGGGGCGGCTGGGGGGTGCGCAGCCCGCGGCGGCCAGCAGGTGCCTGGGCTCAGCCTCCTGCCCCCACCCTCGCCCGGAGCGTGGCCTCGCCCCCTGGCGGGCGAGCACTAGGAGCCGAGGCGCGGGGCGCGGGGCGGGGGGCGGGGGGCACGGGCCCCGCGGGCGGCGGGCTGGAGGCCGGGGGCGGCCGGGCCCCACACCCCCGCGGGCCGGCCCCCGCCGGCGCGCACCCCAGGAGCATGCCCGCGGCCGCGGCGCGCGGCGGAGCCCCGGGGAGGAGAGCGCGGGAGGGCGTGTGCGGCGGCGGCGGCGGCGGCGGCGGCGGCGGCGGCGGCGGCGGCGGCGGCGGCGGAGGAGCCGCTAGTCCCCTCCCTCCTGGGGGAGCAGCTGCCGCGGCCGCCACCATCAGCGCGCGGGCCGCGGCCGGAGCGAGCCCGGCGAGCGGCGCGCGCGGGGGAGGGCGGGGGCGGGGAGGGGGGTGGGCGAAGGGGGCGGGAGGGCGTGGGGGGAGGGTCTCGCGCTCCCGGCGACCAGAGCCCGAGAGGGAGACCCTGGCGGCGGCGGCGGCGGCGGCGGCGGCGGCGGCGGCGGCGGCGGCGCCTGACACTCTGCGCCTCCTGCCGTGCTCCGGGGCGGCATGTCCGAGGCTGGCGGGGCCGGGCCGGGCGGCGGCGGGGCAGGGGCCGGGGCAGGGGCCGGGCTCGGGGCGCTGCCCCCGCAGCCCCCCGCGCCGCCGCCCGCGCCGCCGCAGGGCTCCCCGTGCTCCGCCGCCGCCGCCGCCGCCGGGGGCTCGGGCGCCTGCGGACCGGCGACGGCAGTGGCGGCGGCGGGCACGGCCGAAGGACCGGGAGGCGGCGGCTCGGCCCGGATCGCCGTGAAGAAGGCGCAGCTGCGCTCGGCTCCGCGGGCCAAGAAACTGGAGAAACTCGGAGTGTACTCTGCCTGCAAGGTAGTCGCCCGCCGCTCCGGGCCGGGCCGCCGCGGGGGGCTAGGGCCCTGCCCGCGGGGACCCCCGCCCCTCCCCCTCCGCTCCCCTCCGCTCCCCTCCGCTCCCCTCCCCTCCCGCGCGCGCCCCCGCCCCCGCCCCCGCCCCGCGCCCGCCTCCCGCCCGGGGCCGCTGCACCGCGGAAGTGCTGCTGTCGCCCGCGCCCAATTAGCTGCTTCTCGGACCAGAGTCCCGTGGGGCTGGACGCAGGGGATCACCGCGGTCGGGAGCCTTTCATTCTTCCCCTTCGGAAGGAGTTGCCTCTGCGTCTGCGCTCCTGGGCTGCCCTGGGGCTTTGTTGCTCTGTAGGAGCTCGCCGGAGGCACCTTCCGGAGAGCCGAGCGGCGCTTACTGAGCGGCGAGCGCCCCGGGGCTAAGGAAACCTCTTTTTTGGGGGGGGCGGCGGGGAGCGGGGGGGGATGTGTGCGCCCCGTCTTCGCGCGTCCTCTCCCCGCGCGCGCCCCGCTGCTAGGAGCTGAGCTGGGTGGAAGGAGTGAGAGCGAAGTCGGCTCCGGGACTCCGGGCGCTCTGCGGATCCGAGGGGCGGGACGTCGGGGTGGGAGCCCGGGGCCAGGGTCCGGGAGCTCCCCGCTGCGCGCCGTGACAGCCCCGTCATTATTGTATTATTACTTGTTTAGTTAAAACGCTGTCCCAGCTGCTCGAGGTGTAAACAGGATTTGGCAAGGTGACAGCCTGCGCGGCGGGCGCTGCTGCTCAGTTTGAGGACGCGCGTTTCTTGCCGTCCCCTTTGCACCGCAGCTCCCGGCCCCCCGCAGCCCCTCGGCCGCAGATCCAGATGTGGGCGCCGCGCTCCCGGGGTGGGAGGATCGCCCGAGGCCGCGGGGCAGGCTGGCCCTGCGCTGTCAGCAGCGGCTTTGTTTTGACAGGGTGACAGCTGAGGGGGGCGGGGACTTGGCCTTGTCAGCTCCTGCGGCCTGTGGCTGAGGCGGGGAAGAGACACACTCACACACCTCCCTTGTGCATCTCCCGCCTGCTGCAAACAGGGTCAAGTTCCCAGGTTCCAGATTCTCACGGCCAGACTGCATCGACCGCTTCTGGATTTTGATGTAAAGATTGTTCATCCTGCTGGAACCTCTCTCCCTATATAGTGATGCCGTTTTCAGTATTTACTGGAGCTTCTCAAGCGCACGGGAATGTCTGTGCTTACTAACTACCCTTTTCCCCCACACCGTTCACATCCTCGTGTGTGGGATGAATGCCCACCGTGTCCCCTACATGCGTGTAATAAATAATTGCTGAATGAATGTAGTAGGATCTAGCTCTACTGCTTTTCAAACTTTGAGGTGCATGGGGATCACCTGGGGAGCTTTACTTTTCTTTTTTTTAAGATTTTATTTACTTCTTCATGAGAGACATAAAGCACAAGAGAGAGAGAGAGGCAGAGACACAGGCAGAGGGAGAAGCAGGCTCCATGTGAGGAGCCAGACATGGGACTCGATCCTGGGTCTCCAGGGTCACCACCTGGGCCGAAGGTGGCGCTAAACCTCTGAGCCACCCGGGCTGCCCACCTGGGGAGCTTTAAAATGCGAATTCTGAATCGGTGGATCTGGAGTGGGGCTGAGATTCTGCATCTCTAACAAACTCTCAGATGATGTGATGCCAGTCCAATGACCACGCTCCAAGTAGCAAGTCCCTGGTTCAGACCTGGGCAATGTTTTATTAATCCCTTTTGAATTCAGCCAAGAAAGCAACTGCCCTCCTCTGAGGGCAATACAGGATTGGTGTTTATGAAGGACTGCAAAAAAGATAGAGGGGAGGATACTTCTAAGAAAGGTGAAAGGCCACGAGGTGGTCATAAGGGGCATAAGACTAGTGGCAACAAGGCGTGGAGTCTAGTAGGCAGATGGGAGAACTGTGCCCAGAATGGAAAACAAGGTCATTTATTTATTGGACTTGACATTCTGCAGCTGGAATGGGTTCATGTAGTGACTGTCAGTTCAGTCACTTTTTATTAGGTTCCCCACACCAACACCTTCTCTCCCAGCAGCCTGCCTTAATGTCTGAAAAATTCCCTGAAGTTTTGGTCCCCAGAACCATGATGCGCCCTGCACTCATGTCTTTGATCCTTTCAGATTTCTGAGAGTGAGATGTAGCAGCTTTCCTCAGGTTTGTGACTTGCGTGGTTTCATGTTCACACGCACAACCAAACTTTTAGGAAGGGAAAGCTGCTCATTAAAGGCCTCTCTTTCTGCTCTTGGGAGACTCTGGACATGTCCATTTTTATTTGCTCATTCGTTCAGTAAATATTTAGAGGGGTCACAACTAGGTGCCAGGCATTGTGCTAGATGCTGGGGCTATGACACCAGAATGTGTTCTTCTGGAGCTGCTGAGCGTATTTGTACATGTGCACGCACGTGCATGCATTGTTTGGGGCCCGGGGATGTAGGCAGTAGACCGTTTACAATGATGTTAGAAAACCCTGCTTGCTTAGGATGGTGTTGGAACCCAGAGGTGGGCAGTTCTAGGGCTGGAGCATGGGTGGGGTAGGAATGGCTTCCTGGAGGAAGTGTCAGTGGGTGCTTAGGACTCTTGGCAGTGCAGGGTGGGGTGACGTGAAGCTTCTTGAAGTGGAGAAACTGAAAGCACTTGTGAAAGCTTGGACCTGGGCCAGCAGGAGCTAAAGCTGCATTGGCTGAGGCCACCAGGTTGGGGGGCAATGTGTGTGGCCAAGAGGGCATTGTGGAATCCAGGAATTTTAACGTGGGGAGTAACATTCTCTCAGATTTGCTTTAAAACGAAAACAAAAACAAAAACAAAACCTCTGTTTGGTTGGGTGTGAGGGGAATGTGAGAGAGCAGATCTGTGGTTCTTTATCAGCTTGTCTCTATCCTTCATATAAAAAAGCCCCCAAAGGACAGATTCCTCTACCTTTTGTCACTGATGGGCCCCTTGGCAAAGTGGAGGGAGTAGAGAGGTGAGAGAATGAGGAGGGACTGGAAAGAGAGGAGTAGTTTACTGGGGGTTATTAGAAGAAAAGCAGGTCCCAGACCTGATAAAAGATCTGGCCTTTAAACTTCACAAACGAAACAGGAGGAGGGAGCTAGTTCACAGCCCGGGTGGTATGCCACACCCTGGAGAGAAGAAAAAAGAAGAAACAAACAAACTTGTTTTGCAGGATCTAGAGTAGAGTTCTTTGAACTATGTTCTGGCAAAGGTTGCTTCAGAGAGTCACTTTGCTTCTGTGTGACACAGCCAGAGTAATCATTAAAAATGTAGATCTGACCACATTATATCTCTACTTGGGTCCCTTAATTTCTCTTTGCTGGAGTCCACAAAGCCCTGCAGGGCCTGACCACTGCTGTGTCTGGCCCCTTTGCAGGGCGCTGCATGCATGGTTCCCTTCTACCTCAGGGCCTTTGCACATATTGTCCACTGGAACTGAAAGCTCTTCTCTCAACTCACTTTCACATTAAGTCCCAACTCTTCCTGCCAATCTCACATTTCTTGCATTTCCTTTACCTGCTTGGCCAGCCTTTCTGTTATAAATTGTTTGGAACCCCCTTGTGCTTGCTTTTCCTTCCCAGTGCTTTTATCCCAAATTTTAATTGTGTGATTATTTGATATGTGTTTGTCTCTGAATAGATTCTAAGTGGTGTGGTTATTGACTTGGGTGAATGAACTGGAGAAGAGAAAACTGAGGAAAAGTTTAGCTCTTCAGGATAGTGGTAGTGAAATTTGAGCCTGACTGCTTCTTGACAGTCAGGTAGAGGGAATTCTTTCATATAGTGCATTTTTAGGTATCTCACAGGTGTGCACAGGACTGGGTTTTTAGTGTTATAGAAGAAACTTAAGTAAATATATAAGTAGGTCAAATCTCAGTCTCCATGAGTTTAAGTATAATTTATCTACTAAAAAACCCCACTGACTCTTCCTAATGAAATAGGCCATTTATACATGCAAGGAAGCAGTAGGGTATAGTGGCCCACAGCATGTGCTTGAGTTCAGACTTCAGGATATCCAGGGGTGTGAGCTTGGACAATGACTTTACCTCAGCCTCCATTTCCTTGTCAATAATGATACTGTCTCATTGCATAACAGGGAGGGTTTAAACTGGGCTAATCTGTATAAGGCATCCAGCTGGGTGTCTGGCCCAGGGTAAGCCCCTACAGCAGCTCGGAGTAGGGAATACACTGTTAATGTGGAAATCTGGAAAGACCGTGGGATTTAGAGGATCTCAAATCTCAGCTCTGCCACTCGTGTGATCTTGGGCACAAGTCATCCAGTTTTGCTCTGAGCCTTGATGACTTCCTCTATAAAATGGAGACTAAAACTTCAACCTTGAAGTTAAAAGAGAAAAGGTCCTCCAAAGTTCCTGGAACCCAAAAGTGTCGGATTAATGCTGGGTGAATGGAGTTGCTGCATTGTCTGTCGGAGTCAATGGCCAAAGAGCATTTATTCAGAACCCAGTTGCTTTGATTCTGGGCTGACTGCCATACTTGGTGAGTGACACAGGCTATAAAATTAGGCTGCATTTAAAACATAATGGTTTATAATCTAAAAGTAACACTGTCGAACATACAGAGGCAGAGAAAAAACTCTCCTATGTTGGCCAGGAGCTGGTGAATGGGGCAGGGAGAGCAAGTCTTAAAGTTGGGGAGAGCCTCCAACACTTTTGCATTTGTTGGTCACTGCTCCAGAGAGCAAATTTCTTTTTCAGCTGTCAATATCTAGAACAGTGGCTCTTACCCAGGAGCTGTTTTGCACGTGCCCCTCCTACCCGCCCTCTCCCGGGGTATTTGGCGATGTCTGGAGGCATTTTTGGTGTCATTGTTAATGTGAGGGAGGAAGTGGTACTGGCAGCTAGTGAGTAGAAGCCCAGGATGTTACTAAGCATCTCACTCTGCACAGGACATACCTGCCCAACAATTATCTGGCCCCAAATGACAGTAGTGCTAAAGGTGAGAAACCCTGTTTTAGAGGAAAATTGTATTGACCTGTAGTGCCATGAATACGTTTGCAGCATAGGAAAAATTAATGCTTTTAAGGCTAATTTGCATAACACTTAAAACCTGAAAAATGTCACTGTGAATCATGGGGCATATTTCTAAACAGCTTTATTGTGGTATAATTTGTAGATCGTAAAAGTCACCAGCTGTAAGCGTGCAGTCAGATGCTTTTGAGTAAAAGTATATAGTTATGCCTCCATCACTACAGTTTGGTGTTATAACTCTTCCATTGCCCTAAAAACTTTCCTCCTGCCCTGGGCATCTTTTTAAAGTGATACTTTGTATTAATTCACAGTTTGCAAATGGAAACCAAATTAAACATATCTTTTTGGAGCTCATTAGATAAGTAGTAATATAAGAAAGCACAAAACATGCAGGGGTGTCGACAAAATGTTTTTAAGAGTGGTCCTTAGCCAAATAACTCTATAGCATAGAATTATGTCTTGCGTGGTGACTTCTCTAAGAGGCGGTATCATGCAGTCAGGCACACATAGGAAAAATATTTCATTTGGCAGGCACAATACAAAAAGCCCAAGAGAAAGATGACCAAATTTAATTGTTTCCTCATAAACTTTCAGGGAAGATGGAAATTCAAGCCTGCAAAGCCTTTAGATTGCAATTTACCGTTTTATGTAACTGAGAAAGTAGTTTATAGGGCAAAAGAGAACAAAAATCTGCTGAGGAGTGTTTTGTTTTAGGAAGCATGTGTTTGCAACTAGCATTTTGTGATGCGGTGCTGGTGTGTTGTTTTTTGATCTTTTTCTTTTCTTTTCTTTTCTTTTCTTTTCTTTTCTTTTCTTTTCTTTTCTTTCTTTTTTTTTTTTTTTGGTTTGTTTTATTTCTTTAAACCACTGAGCAGATTTAAACTTGGTTACCTGTCCACATAGGCAGGATTTAATTCTGTGTCTATCAGGGAAATCGACAAGTCTAAGCCGTCATAGGGAATGTCGAGGGTAAAATAGACATTTCATGTGAGGCACCTTGGAACAATCAGAACATCTGCTTCTCAGATGAAAGATTTGGATACTCTGTGCAGTGCCAATAAAACTTGGATTTCCAAGGCTTAGTGGCTTCTGATTTAGTTCGTCCCTCTCTCCAGGAGAGGAAGGTAGTTGTTTAGGAATGGTTGTCAGTGGTTTCTTATTCTTCGTGGTTTCCTACTCCTAATCTGCTGCAAACGCAAAGCACCTGTGGCAGGATAGTAGGCGCACTGACTGCCTGGCTACCTGGAGCAAACTTGGAGAACCCTCCTCCTTCTCCCTCCATGCTGGGTGTCTTTGGGCAGCCACTTAACAGCCTTGGGGTTCAGTTTCCTTACTGGTGAAGTGGGAGTCAAGGCACCACCTCATTGACTCGCTGTGAAGATGGAATACGGTAGCATGTATGAAAGGTCTTGGAATATATGTATTCCCACCTATGTCTATTTTTTTTTTAAAGATTCTATTTATTTATTCATGAGAGATAGAGAGAGAGGAAGAGACATAGGTAGAGGGAGAAGCAGGTTCTCTGTGGGGAGCCCAATGCCGGACTTGATCCTAGGACCCCGGGATCATGCCCTGAGAAAATGGCAGACGCTCAACCACTAAGCCACCCAGGTGCCCCCCCACCTATGTTTATTTTAGTTCATTTCTGGAAACCTTCTGTGGGTATCAGCAGTTTTGTTGATAGTGTTTTTGCCAAAGTGTTCAGCCTCTTGTCATTTGATCCTTCTACCTGGGGCAAGAAGAGGGTGAGGAAGGTCATTTTACTAGCAGGGAACTGAGACCCAAAGAGGTGAAGTAACTTCCTCAAGCAGCAGTGGTTGCTCAGGGAAGAGCTCGCCCCTAAAGTAGATCTTTCTAGCGCACAATTTTGCATCCCCTTTCCGTAATATGGGGAGTGGAGGGGATGGTGTTCTCGGTGGCTTACAGAGAGGATTTTGTTTCAGGAGTTTGATGGCTCTCATTTGACATTTATTGTTACTCCTATTGTGAGGTATGTTCAAAGGCTTTCCTAGTTCATTGAGACTGTGCAGGCCATAAAGCAAACAAAATAACCATTTTTTATTATGGGCCTAGACAGACAGATGCATGCCCTTGATTGTTTTAAAGCTGACAATCAAGGATGGTCACTGTGCTGGCCCATTAGAATTCCTTGTTGAAGGAAGATGAAAGTGATACCTACAGAGGCTGTAGAAGGTGCCAGATATGCCAGAGAGTCAAGGAATTGACTGTCCTGGACATTTAGAAGTCCGAAAACAGCTCTGCAGAAGACTGCACACAGCAGTCTGAATTCAGCCCAATTCAGAGGAAAGTCATTTTTGTTTAACTTAATTTTATTATGCAGACAGTGAAGTGCTTATGTCATAAGCATATATAGCTTGATGAGTTTTTACATAGGCACACAGCCACGCAGCTGCCACTCAGATGAAGCTGAAGGCCGCTTGTGCCACCTCCCCACCTCGAGTAACCCTTATTCTTTTTTTTTTTTTTAAGATTTTATTCATTTTTTCATGAGAGACACACACACAGAGAGAGAGAGAGAGAGAGGGAGAGAGAGAGAGGGAGAGAGAGGCAGAGACACAGGCAGAGGGAGAAGCAGGCTCCATACAGGGAGCCCGATGTGGGACTCGATCCTGGGTGTCCAGGATCACGCCCTGGGCTGAAGGCGGCGCTAAACCACTCAGCCACCCCGGTTGCCCCCCTTATTCTTTTAATTTTTTTTATTTTTTTTTTTATTTTTTATTTATTTATTTATTTATTTATGATAGTCATACAGAGAGAGAGAGAGGCAGAGACACAGGCGGAGGGAGAAGCAGGCTCCATGCACCGGGAGCCCGACGTGGGATTCGATCCGAAGTCTCCAGATCGCGCCCTGGGCCAAAGGCAGGCGCCAAACCGCTGCACCACCCAGGGATCCCCCCCCTTATTCTTTTAATACTAGAGATTACTTTTGCTTTTCTTAAACTTGACCCAAATGGGATGGTGTGGTATGAATTCCTTTGAACCTGGCTTTTGTCACTCCCATGATGTCTGTGAGGTGCATCTCTGTTGCTGCGTATAGAAGTAGTTTGTAAAGACACATTTTTTTAAACTAAAAAGTTTTAAAAATTGTCAACCATTTTCAGGATGAAAGTCATTGGATGCGGACTTCATAAAATGAATTTTAATTAAATCTTTGGAAGAAAAGATGACAATTTGATATTTCAGAATTTAGCATATGTGAATGTTCTTGGAATGTAGGGAAGAACCCTTGAAGGCAAGAATGGGACAAGAAACCAAGGAGGGCTGTAGATAAGCTTTGGGATGGAGGTGGGTGCTGGGGGCCTGTGATGTCACAGGTGTAAAATGTGTAGCCTGCATCTTCTCCTCTGGAGTCTGTATTGGTGAGTCCTTACTGGTAAATATCCATGTGAAGAAGCCCTCCTGTCACACATCTTTGGTTCTAGAAGATGTCTAGAATTATATGTTGTATTCTGCAAGCCATGCAGAACCATACGTGTTGGGAGTGGTGGCAGGGTCTCTAGAAGGCTGGCTAGAATCCAGCCAATAAAGCTCCAGTAGTCCTTGACACCTCTGTGTTGTGTTCCTGGCCTGTGGGATTGAGATGCAGGAAAGAGATCATCCTCCTCGGCCCTCCCCTCATGGCCCTAATCTCCGAAAGTGTGAGGCCACCTCTCTTCAGGAGTGGCAGTGAGGAGCACAGATTACTCTATTACTCAAAACACAGTTTCAGCATAACAACTCATCCTTGAAAACTCATGTGTGATATGTAAGCTTATTATTTAATAGAATCATATGGACTATCCACTTATGAAGTAATTTGTTCTGTAATTGGTGTATTTAATGCAACAGGATTTTTGTCTTTTTTACTTGGGTGCACATGTACATGGGGGTGTTGTACCTAATGCCATTTATTTATTCTTCATTTATTTCCATGGGTTGCTTTAAATTTCTTTCTTTTTTTTTTTTAATTTCTACTTAAGTAGCTCCTGTCTAAATTCCTTATGATGGTTCATCCCCTTTCATCACAACTGAAATAACATTGAATCCTTATATATTTTTAAAGATTTATTATTTTAGCGAGTGCACATGGAGAGAGTGAGCATACACAGGGGGAGGGGCAGAGGGAGAAAGAATCTTTTATTTATTTATTTTTTAAAGATTTCATTATTTATTCATGAGAGAGACACACACAGAGAGAGGCAGAGACACAGGCAGAGGGAGAAGCAGGTTCCATGCAGGGAGTCTGATGTGGGACTCGATCCCGGGACTCCAGGATCAGGCCCTGGGCCAAAGGGAGGCACTCAGCCACTGAGCCACCCAGGCGTCCCAGAGAGAGAGAATATTAAGCAGACTCCCTGCTGAGTGTGGAGTCTGATGCTGGGGGGTAACAAGGTGCTCAATCCCAGGACCCTGAGATCACGACGTGAGCCAAATCCAAGAGTCAGTCGCTTTTACCAACTTAGCCATCCAGGTGCCCCTTGAATCTTTGTAATGAATTGTTTTCATCTC